TATTTCCATGCAAAATAATGGTACCGCTTTAAGCACCAAAAATCTGAAATAATCATACCGCTAGGGAGGTTGAGCAAAGGATGGTGTAAAACAAAACCACATGAACAAACGTGATAGTTTTTGTGCTCTGTAGTGTGTTAGTAGCCAAGGCAGAAATAAAGCTTAACTCCAGGATAAAAATGAGAATTAGAATCTTGTGCTTCTTCTTCCAGATCAGTGCAGTATTCCAGTGTGAAACTTCACCTCTGTGCAGAAGCGTCTTGTATTAAGACCAAGGGAGAATGTCACCAGCGTCACATGCCTGATGAAGGGGTCCTGCGAGACCCGAATCGTTGCCTTGCTGTAACTATGTGATCGTTCATTAAAACATTTGGACCCATATTGGTGATCCTCTGTGTGCTGGTGACATTCTCCCTTGGTGATTCTGTTCGGTTACAGACAGTGGTCCCTACAGCACCCACTTGTACACACAGCCATTTTTAATGCAGGAACGTGTGCATTTGAATTGTAAACTTGTATTAAGACCAGTCACTGCTACTCTCTCTCCTTGTGCAGGGTGACCTGTGTTATATCCACCTCTTTGTATAGTTTAATGCAGGCATCTGTTGGCATCCACCCACAGTGCTGTTCTCTGTTTAGCATGTTCAGTATGTATGTGCAGCACAGTGATGATGTAAATACTGTTTTTACAAGGTAATAACTAAGTTTGCAAAGGAATTTAGTGCACACAAAGTAGATTTATACCCTTTGTGGCTACTCAGGAAAATATTAAAATTAAAGTTCTCGGAGTTTAGTTTTAATGAAACAGCATTTCATTATACTATTTATACTATTTTTTACTGATTTTTGAGTGAATAAATAGCTGGACTTGAGTTTTTTTTAATATCTGCTGTGCTCTCTGGCTCTGCTGCTCACCTATCAGTTTGCATTGTTCCAAGCTATCTCTGTGGACTTAAAACGCCTCCCCCTATGTTATGGAGAAGAAGAGAGATACAGTACAGTGATTGTGCACCGTCACCCTATGAAGGAAGTGTGTTACTGACAGGATCCCTAGGTGAAAATGAAAGAAAATCCAGAAAAAAATTAATGCAGTTACCACATCTAATGATTAGTACACTGCAGTATATTGTTTTTTATTCTTGGTTTGGATAAGCTGTAAATAACCCACTTCAGACTTCTTCACTAAAGTTGATTATACACTTGTAGATTTTTGAATGAACGTTCTTACAAATTATCATACAAACATTCCTAACAAATACTGAGATGGCGAAAGTCCTTCGAAAGTACTTCAAAATTGTGTTTGCTTTTAACCTTTGATTTTTGAATGAATATAATTTCCCAAACAGAAACCACATTCACTGTTAGAAATTTGCTTAAACAATTTCCCGTCCTGCTCCTTTGAATGTTTTCATCACTATGGTTGAAAATAAATGTCGATTTGACCCCACTAATGGTTCGAAAATTGAATGATTATTTTTAAAATGAACATTTTGAACAAAATTTTAATGGCCATTTTCAGTATCTGTTTCCAATATTAACTGATACATCCCCAGCAATGCTAATAAATACTTGTAGGCACTACTACATTGTAAAACCAAAGAGCATTGTCCTTCTGCAAACAGTAGTTGGCAAAATGGAGTAATCAGTGGACAAAGCAGAAGGGTATGACAGAGGAATACATTCATTATGTCTGTTTAGTCTCAAAAGAGTGATCATCTGAGAAATGTTACCACTTAAGAAACACAATAAAGCTTTCAAGAATAATGTTTACAAGGGTTATATGAGGCAAGTCAAAGAAAGCCAAACATTTGGACCTTGTCCTCCCACTGTCTCTTCTGTCTTATTTATGCTAATGTGGAATCCAGCACACTTAAAAAAATCATCGGCCTTTTGACTGCTTGGATACAATTGTTTTCAGCTACAACACTGGATACAGTACCTCCAAAGTTCAAAATATATGACATTTTGCAAATTAAAGAACAAATTGAAAAATTTGTTACAAGAAAATCAAGAAGGCTGCCATGACAGATCATTTGAAAATGTGCTCGCCTGTTATGTTGACCCTCTAACTTCAATACCTTGAGCCACTGACTTGGAGCAAGCACGAAACACTTAAAAGCTTATGATTGCACATCACCATAGTGTTAGTCTTCTTTAAACTTGCTCATTGACCTCATCCTCAATTCAGAGTAACTCTCAATTTCACCCAAATATTTCAGCTGGCTAACCTACAGTACATGTAACTTGCCTGTAGTTACCAGTTTCCCAACTAAGTAAATCTGAGCACATGAAAGTGCAGTTCAAGGCTTCCAAGGCTTCCACCCGTAGCATTTTAATATTAAAATACAGTGCAGCGCTAAACTAAACAACAACATCAATATCACAAATATCGTGAATGTAAATACTACAGTGAACATTCAATGCATCCAAGTGAACATGTGTTATTATAGTCTCTGAACAGTGATAATTAGAATAACTCTCCACAACTAAATCCTCCACCATGGATCACCAGATGTGCCCTCACCTGCACAATTTGACCTCACATTAAGTTTGGTCAAAAAACGCATGTTTCTCTTAGGTCGGACATAAACCAGTTGATGTGTCCCAGGTATAGCTCTTCCTCCAGAGATGGAAACCTTGGTCTCTCCTCCTCTACTCAGTAATATATTGAAAAATAGGAAATACAATAGTGCTTTATCCTTAAAGCATTACACTTTATTAAAATCATATAAGTGGCCACACTTTCAAGGTGCTATATAACACCAAATATAAAGCGCTTTCCATAGACAATTCATGCTGTGACATAGGAATAAAAAGACAATCCTTCACTCATCTGTAATCGTAGTAACATGGATCGATGTGTGTGCAGCGCTGTGGCGTCATCAAGCCCCTCCCCTAAGCATTGCGCCACAGGGTCACGTGGCTTCCTCAGGGGGATGTGATTAGACAACACCACACTTATGGATATTTATATAGTGGTCTGTGGCCATTTTGTAGTAGTCTATGTGTGATCTATTCATTGGTCCACGTCCATTTACTTGTAGCCTATATACAACTATAATCGAAGGACCGCATCAGTGGCCATTTTACCATAGATGTTATAAACATGCTGCTCACATCAAAAAATCTGCTCTAACTCACACCTGCAGACACCCTCGCCTACATCGTCATGAATCCCATTACTATATTTATAAATAACATCCTCACTATTTGCTAAATGTAACTACCCCTATGGAATAAAACATTAATCAACAGGTAATTCAATGGTGTTCCCTATTTAATTATATGAATGATCAACCGCCATGTTGTTGTAGTCCATATAAAGCTGATACTGTATCTGGTAGCCAATCATTCACTACTAATGAAAAAACCGTTATTCTTACCTACTCACCTATTAAAAAACATTTTTTGCAGAAAATGACTATTTTTACACTTAAATGCCTAGCCCAGCTACCTTCGTGGAATGGATCTGATATGACTACACACTTTAGTATAACTCCATACAGTGGTCAAACCATGAACATTAATGCACCAATGTGGCTCCCTAATAGGTGAACCTAAATCTAATGTATCAAATGATGATAACATCTATTCAAGTGTGGACTGCCTGGTACTGACATTATGATCATTTTGAAAGACAATGTCATGCACCAGGAACCCATTTATATCAATATTCCCAATGTGTTTCTTATCATCAAAAATAGCAATACTTTAAACCTTAATAATTACTCAGAAAACATTTGAGATCAAATTCTTTGTTTAAACCATTGGCTGCTAGGCAATCAAATTCATAAATCCAACGAGACCCCTTTTTACTCAGTTCCCTAATTTTATGATCCCCTCTTCAATGCGGCTTATATACTTCTACCCCAAAAAATTGTAGTCCACTATAATCTTTCTGATGGACTAACCAAATAATGTTTCTTATGGCCTCTACCTATGTTATATACATGTTCCTTGATCCTGTCTTTTAATGCTCTTTTAGTTCTACCTACATAAAAAAATCTGCATGGGCATGTTAAAATATATACCACTCCTTTAGTGTGGCAAGATATTGTCAGGGCTCCAGGTATGACCAGAGGTGTGTGGACCGACACAGGGAAACACAGACTTCAGGTATAGCGTGTAACACAATATAATTTATTAAAGACAACACAAACATAAATGCAGTGCAAACAATCAAACTCAACACTTACATAAATATGTGCAACCAGGTGCAATAAACCTTAAACGAATAGGTACCAGTGCAGTCAGGGCTGGAGAGGTGGAGCGGTCAGGCAGGCCAAGCCCACAGCACGGATTTCCTCAGGGTGCGGGGTCTAAGTCCCAACCTGCTATTCACCAGGGCCCCTGATGGTGGGGATGGACTTGGTGCAGACTGGAACCAGGTAGCAACCCCTGAGTGCGTCCGGCTGTGGTAGCGAGTACTGGCAGGGGAGTGCAGGAATGGAGTCTGATGGGAAGAGGCAGGCAGGCTTACTAGAGGTGATCCGTGCAGGATGGATGGATCGTCGGGTGAAGTAAGCATAGTCAGAAAGGCCGGGTCGGTGTCGTGCGGGCAGCGTGGTACAGGAGGAGCAAGCAGAGAATGGTCGGGGTCACAAGCCAGGTTTAGCAGGTAGCGGGCAGCGTGGTACCGAGGATCAGGCAGAAGGATGGTCAGGCAAGCCAGGGGTTCAACAGGAGACGGTCAGCAGAAGTCAGGATCAAAACAGGGTCAGCAACGAGGCAGGAACACAGGATACCAGGTACAGGGGCTCATGGGAAAACATACACCAAGGCCCAGATCACAGGCCTGGTCATTCCTTAAATACACCTCCTGCAATCAGCCTCAGGTTGTTGGCTGACTACAGGAGTGAGCTTCTGGCTGCTGAGAGCACCCGCTGGTCAGCCCTGGTACTGCAGCCCACACGGCAGGTGAGTCCCACCACCAGTGCTGTGTCCATTCCTGACAGTACCCCCCCTCAAGGAGCGGCCTCAGGATGCTCCAAACAGTCCTTAGTGGGCAAAATGTTCCACCGCCCGGGTCAGGTAACTGGCTGGATATCTTACTGCCGGAGTCAACCGGCTGGCTGGGTTTCCTGCTGGCAGACTTCTCTTTATGTAGGGGAACCCAGGATGGCAGGCCGCTGGACACAGGATTTCCAGGAGCAGGCTGGGAATCAGTTATTGGCCAGTTTAGCTGGGCAGTGGGCGGAGGCACGTCAGGCTGGGCAGCGGGCGGGGGCACGTCAGGCTGGGCAGCGGATGGAGGCACGTCAGGCTGGGCAGCGGACGGAGGCAAGTCAGGGGGCACCGAGTCATCTGGCACGACAGCGGGCACAGAGTCATCTGGCATGTCACCAAGCAGCGGGCACCGGGTCACCAAGCTCGACAGCGGGCACCGGGTCATCTGGCACAACAGTGAGCTCCGAGTCATCTGGCAAGACAGCAAGCTCCGAGTCATCTGGGCAGAACCGCGGGCAACGGGTCACCAAGCTTGACAGCAGGCACCGAGTCATCTGGCACGACAGCGGGCTCCGAGTCAGTCATCTGGCACGACAGTGGGCTTCGAGTCATCTGGCAGAACCGCGAGCACCGAGTCATCTGGCACGACAGCACGCTCCGAGTCATCTGGCAAGACAGTGGGCTCCGAGTCACCTGGCAGAACCGCGGGCACCGGGTCACCAAGCTCGACAGCGGGCACCGAGTCATCTGGCACGACAGCGGGCTCCGAGTCATCTGGCAGAATAGTGGGCACCGGGTCACCAAGCTCGACAGCGGGCACCGAGTCATCTGGCACGACAGTGGGCACCGAGTCATCTGGCACGACAGTGAGCTCCGAGTCATCTGGCAAGACAGCAAGCTCAGCAAGCTCTGGCTCCGAGTCATCTTGACAGCAGGCACCGAGTCATCTGGCACGACAGCGGGCTCCGAGTCATCTGGCTGGCAGAACCGCGGGCACCGGGGGTCACCAAGCTTGACAGCAGGCACCGAGTCATCTGGCACGACAGCGGGCTCCGAGTCATCTGGGCAAGACAGCGAGCTCCGAGTCATCTGGCAGAACCGCGGGCACTGGGTCACCAAGCTCGACAGCGGGCACCGAGTCATCTGGCACGACAGTGGGCTCCGAGTCATCTGGCAGAACCGCGAGCACCGAGTCATCTGGCACGACAGCGGGCTCCGAGTCATCTGGCACGACAGCACGCTCCGAGTCATCTGGCAAGACAGCGGGCTCCGAGTCACCTGGCAGAACCGCGGGCACCGGGTCACCAAGCTCGACAGCGGGCACCGAGTCATCTGGCACGACAGCGGGCTCCGAGTCATCTGGCAGAATAGTGGGCACCGGGTCACCAAGCTCGACAGCGGGCACCGAGTCATCTGGCACGACAGTGGGCACCGAGTCATTTGGCAAGACCGTGGGCACTGAGTCATCTGGCAAGACCGTGGGCACCGAGTCATCTGGCAAGACCGTGGGCACGAGTCATCTGGCAAGACAGTGGGCACCGAGTCATCTGGCATGACTGCGGGCCCTGAGCCATCTAGCAGAACCACGGGCAACGGGTCACCAAGCTCGACAGTGGGCACCGAGTCATTTGGCAAGACCGTGGGCACTGAGTCATCTGGCAAGACCGTGGGCACCGAGTCATCTGGCACAACTGAGGGCCCCGAGCCATCTAGCAGAACCACGGGCACCGGGTCACCAAGCTCGACAGTGGGCACCGAGTCATCTGGCAAGACAGCGGGTACCGAGTCATCTGGCAGAACCGCGGGCACTGGGTCACCAAACTCAATGTGGCAGGTGCCCTGGGGAGCAATCTGCCCCCCCCCCCAGGCTGTGATCTCCTCGGGGACAAGAAAATTCTATTCTAGGTCTCAAACTATTTATACACTTTCCCTGCACCCATCTGTGCCCTCTTCCCACAGGGGTTGGCTAAGACAGTATAAATATTCATGCTGCTCAATTGCCTTTCTCCATTCCTATGTTCCAGAAGAACCCAGATAGTTCTAGCAGGAAGAGTAATCAAACCTGAAGCCTATGAAACACAGAACAGACCTAAACAATTACAAACAGCCACACTGATTACAGTGAGCCAAAACTAAATTTACCTAACAACACAAAAATGCAGCTCCACTGGATACAGTGAGCAAGAACTAAATTTACCTAACCGTAGCACCTATCTAGAAAGGTGCTACTCCACCTATTCATTTGTTAGTCTAAAATGATCTCATCAGTTATGTGCTGCCCCTTCATTGTCCAGTCTTCAGGCAGGGGATGGGTTGATAGCCTAATGCCTTCAGCTTTTTTTAAAAAACAAAAGTAAAATTGATATTGCCGAAGTCCATTAGAAGAACTTAGAAAATTGCAGCTTTAAAAAAAAATTACTAACCTCCTTTTCTTGCGCTGTCCCCTGTAGACATTCTACTTCATTTTTCAATCAGGTCCTTCTTGTGGGTTGAATGACACTCATCATCAATAAGCCTGCTTACTGTGAGCCCTTGGTGTCATGGACACATGCTCTAGGGTATATCATTGTGCTGGCCTTGGAAAGAAAGAAACGTGCTCCACGGAATGGTGCACACTTCATTACGTCAGTGCTGTTCTCTGCCACAATCAGAATCACCTATCAGGAAAGGAGCAAAGAGAAGGAAGAGGACCCAGTGTTTCACGTGACTGGAAATAAGACAGCGGAAAAAAGTATGTTTACTATTTTTTTTAAATATGAGGCAAAGGGGTGGTTGTGCAGAGCACAAGGTGGGGGCATTGGACCCAAGAGGTGCCCAACCTAGAACTGGGCTTTAAGTACAGCAGAGAAAAGTGAGGTTACTGATCTGGCCTTGCAGTTCTGCATGCTCTCTTGTCCCCAAGACTGGCTCAACATCATTACAAAAATGTGGTCAAGTAAAAAGGTTCACATATTTGTGTTTCAGCTGCACACTTAAAAGTGTTTCCCTGGAGTTCAGCTTTAAGGTCATGTTGCTGAAGTTTGGCTGAGGACCATATTTGTCAACTCAAACATGTTTCCTATTACTCCCTGCTGCAGCAAATTCATTTTTAAAATGATGGAATACATCCCAGTTCCGAGAACTGCACTAAATAAACTACAGGCAAAAATTTTTTACAGTTTGCAAATGCCAGAAACACAACGAAAATATTGGACAAGAGCAAATCTGTGCTGTGTTATGCTGACATATTTCTGAGCAGGTGCAGAACAGCAAAAAGTGGAGGGAATAATTTATGGCTTCTGTATGACAGGGATATGATTTGGTATCTGGGTTTTATCTACAAGAAAGCAGAAAGTAATTCTGAAGTGGAGCTAGAAAAAAATTAACAATAAAATGTCGTGTCACTGATGGCCATGTATGTATACTGATGGCTACACATTTTACTAGAGCCAACCTGGCAATTTTTAATACCTTCCTTCCCCTCCTATAGCAAAGATGGCTTCCTTGAGTGTCAAGAGCACTGCTTTGTGATTGCGTGTCCATACACACCTACACACTTAGCAAGTCAGCTCAGTGACACTTCGGCATCATTGTCACCCCCCCCCACCATGCCTCTATGAGTCCTACCTGAGACAGCTGTCTCAATTGGTCTCCTTCACAGCATGGCCCTTTTACACAATGTGTGTGTGGGTGGTACTGGCTATCGCTCCACAGAGTGTATGTATAGCCAAATCAGGTTTTATTTAGTTTCGGATAGAACATGGAAGGGTTAAAACCCCAAAAGTTTATTCTCAGCCATTTTTGTCTCATTTGAAAATTTTCCTTTGCTTTCTCCTGCTGACACAACAGGAAGTGAAAGGAAATTTGTACAATTTGAGGCAAAAATCCCACTTGGACAGTTTTCACCTGAAATAGTGTTCCCATTGAAAGATGTACCCTCACGTTTTGTCCTGGTGACAACTCTAAAAGTTTGAATTTATCAGCAATTTCTGTCTGCGTGACAGTAGTCACCAGAACAAATTAAGGGTTGAATCTACCCAGGAGGAAAAAGACACCAATTTCCTTTGCAGGTGTTCTAGTACTTCCTTACTGTATCCAAATAAAAATTTTTATACATGCACTTGAATGTACCTCTGTACAGAAGACTGTGCTTGTGCACTAAAACTAAGTGACAGTCCAATATACACTGCTCAAAAAAATTAAAGGAACACTTTTTAATCAGAGAATAGCATCAAGTCAATGAAACTCCTGGGATCTTGATCTGGTCAGTTAAGTAGCAGAGGGGGTTGTTAATCATTTTCAGCTGCTTTGGTGTTAATGAAATTACCAACAGGTGCACTAGATGGCCAACAATGAGATGACCTCCAAAACAGGAATGGTTTTACAGGTGGAGGCCACTGACAATTTTTTCCCCTACTTATCTTTTCTGACTGTTTTTCACTAGTTTTGCATTTGGCTAGGGTCAGTGTCACAACTGGTAGCATGAGGCGATATCTGGACCCTACAGAGGTTGCACAGGCAGTCCAACTCCTCCAGGATGTCACATCAATACTTGCCATTGCCAGGAGGTTTGCTGTGTCTCCCAGCGCAGTCTCAAGAGCATGGAGGAGATTCCAGGAGACAGGCAGTTACTCTAGGAGAGCTGGAAAGGGCCATAGTAGGTCCTTAACCCATCAGCAGGACCAGTATCTGATCCTTTGTGCAAGGAGGAACAGGATGAGCACTGCCAGAGCCCTACAAAATGACCTCCAGCAGGCCACTGGTGTGAATGTCTCTGACCAAACAATCAAAAACAGACTTCATGAGTGTAGCCTGAGGGCCGGAAGTCCTCTAGTGGACCCTGTGCTCACTGCCCAGCACCATAAAACTTGATTGGCATTTGCCATTGAGCACCAGAATTGGCAGGTCCACCACTGGTGCCTTGTGCTTTTCACAAATGAAAGCAGGTTCACCGTGAGCACGTGACAGATGTGAAAGGGTCTGGAGAAGTTGTGGCGAATGTTATGCTGCCTGTAACATCGTTCAGCATGACCGTTTTGGTGGTGGGTCAGTGATGGTCTGGGGAGGCATATCCATGGAGGGACGCACAGACCTCTACAGGCTAGATAATGGCACCCTGACTGCCATTAGGAATTGGGATGAAATCCTTGGACCCATTGTCAGACCCTACGCTGGTGCAGTGGGTCCTGGGTTCCTCCTGGTCCACGACAATGCCCGGCCTCATGTGGCGAGAGTATGCAGCCAATTCCTGGAGGATGAAGGAATTGATACAATTGAATGGCTCCCACACTTGCCTGACCTAAATTCAATAGAACACCTCTGGGATATCATGTTTTGATCCATCCAATGCTGCCAGGTTGCACCTCAGACTGTCCAGGAGCTCAGTGATGCACTGGTCCAGATCTGGGAGGAAATACCCCAGGACACCATGGGGTTTATTTACTAAAACTGGAGAGTGCAAAATAAGACTCCCTTCTGCATAGAAACCAATCAGCTTCCAGGTTTCATTGCCAAAGCTTCATTGAACAAGCTGAGGTTAGAAGCTGATTGGTTTCTATGCAGAAGGGAGTCTGATTTTGGACTCTCCAGCTTTAGTAAATAAACCCCTTAGGCTCCATTCACTCTTAGGCATTTCAAATTGCCTGTGGATCGATGTGATTCTGCAATTTGAAAACGCGCTGTAAAAATGTGCATTCGTGTGTTCAGGAGCCATTAATTTCAATGGCACCTGAAAACACGGGACGTTTTTTCTGCGATTTCAGAGTGTTTTTTTAGCGTCACAAACATGCTGCAATCACACAAACAAAATCGCAAGAAAAGTTTCCGGAACCGCTTTTGGCCACCAAGCATCCTGCGATTTTGTTTACGTGATTGCAAAAACGTGTTCTCAGGTGCCACTGAAAAGAATGGCACTTGAACTTGTGAATGCTTGTTTTCACATTTTCACAGCGTGCTTTTAAATCGTGGGCAGAATCATGGCGATTCCGCCCGCAATTTCAAACGCCTAAGTGTTAATGGCGCTTTAGAGATTTTTATGAGCTATACGATGCAGGTTGCTCAAAGAAAATAAATAATGTACAGTACAGCAGCCTCTTCAAAGAATTAGAATGTGAGGCATGTACCTGACAGGAGTTGTAACATTTCTTTCAGTGTGAGGTTGAAATTACACTCAATAAAACGTGACATAATGAGTAGTTTTTATTGCTTCTGCCATACAGTGTTACCATTGGTGAGCTGAGATGTTGCAGACATGCCTAAACCCATGAAATCCTCATATATTCACATCTGTGTCCTTGTGACAAAGAAGTCTTATATACAGTATGTCTCCATTAGGACAGACTTGTAGAAGTTGTGTGTTTTACCTTTAAGTGAAAACTCTGTAATACGGAGAGTATGTCTCAGGAGTAGCAGAAACTGATGGAGATTCTATTTATATCCAGGGTAATGCAATTTCAGTCATGATAATCATATTTATGCAATTTAATATTCGTAATTTTCCTTACAAGGCATTTCCACTTTTTTAGAGTGGCTCATATATTTGTTCTGGCTGGCTGACTACTAAAACCTCTACTCAGCCGTGCCTGTCTACCACTTCCTGTAACATGCAGGGACCACAGTACATGTATTAATATATTTTGTCGCCAAATATGAAATAATTCTGTTTTCCCATCTTTATTTTCTCAACCTATTCCAT